TGTAAATATAAAATGATGAGGGGCTAGAGAGATGGCTTTCTAGTTAAGGACACTGGCTGTTCTCGCAGAGGACCTAGGTTTGATTCTCAGTACCCACATGGCAGTTCCCAGCCATCTGTTTCTCCAATTCAAGGTGATCTGATGCCCTGCTCTGGTCTCCTCAGGCTTCAGGCATGCACGTGGTACATAGACATACATGCAGACAAAATATCACATATACATAAATTTTAAAAATGTGTATAGCATGGCGGCAAATGTCCTTTTAGATGTCACACTCTTCCTCGGGAATGCCCATGATCTGTAGGATGAGATGGAGAGAGGGAGGTGCACTATGAGGCTTCTTGCTCTACAGTGGCCTAAGGGGAACTCTAAGTGGGACCCACTTTGTCGTTCTTGAACCTGTCATCCTCCTATCTTAGTCCCCTGAGTGATGGTATTACAGATGCGTGACACCGTGCTGGCTCTGATGCAGCCCCCTCAAAGACAAGCTAATGAGGCCTTTAAGTCCCTCGGGTTTTTTTTTTTTTTTTTTTTTTTTTTTTTTTTGTGTGTGTGTGTGTGTGTGTGTGTGTGTGTATGGAACCTCCCAAATACTTTGGAGACTATTTCCTGAATTGCTGAGTCTGAGCCAGAATATAAGATAGCCGGACCTGGAACCTTCCAGATACTTTGGAGACTATTTTCTGAATTGCTGACTCTGAGCCAGAATATAAAGTAGACAAACCTCTAAGACAACATTCATAATTTTTGCTTTGTTTGGTTTTATTTTCATTAAGTAAAAACTTGAAGGAAGAAATAGGGCCATGCTAGGTTGGTTTGTCTAAAATTGTTAGAAACCCCAGAATGTACTCAGCAAACAGGCCCTGGGCTTAACATCTGGGCTAAAAAGGAGCCCCGGAAGTAGTGTGGTCTTCCCATTGACACAGAGTGTGTGACCTTGGGAGCCTGGGAGCAGCAGAGAACAGTTGTGGCCTTCCTCCCAAATTTAGCAGCTGAACTCTCAAAATTAGAGGAACTGTCACTGACAAGACAGAGAATGCTCCTAAGTCCTTTGTGACAAGCACAGTTCTGCATGACTGCACATCCTAATTGGGGACCCCAGAGTTGCATGATTTGAATCTATTATCATTGATTTTCACAATCCTTCTCTTCTTAGACTCATAAAATGTTAAAAGCAGGTAGAAGAGGATTTAAAATGACCACAATTCGCTTTCTCATTCTACTCTGGAGGAAAAGGAGTTCCGGAGAGGTTGTCTGTTGTAAGGAGACACCCAGAAAGGACAAGGCAGAGTCAGGAGGGTCTGAGTCAGCCTGTGATGTCTGACCAGATGCCTAGTACTTCTCTGCTGCTTCTGGGCACACAATTCTGCATCGTCTAGGGACCCGATGCTCCCAGAGCATGCACTGTGCAGGCAGATGGACAGGGTTTCCGAGTGGTAATAAGAGACATTGATGCACACTCTTTACTTATATTCTCTTAAAAAAAATTTTGAAGTTGTATTTATTTGTTTTTTTGTGTGTCTGTGTGATGTGTATCTGTGCATGCTGTGATGTATATGTAGAGGTCAGAGGGCAACCTTTACAGTCACTCCTTACATCACATGGATTCCCTGGAGCTCAGTGGCGCAATCAGTTAGCGTGTGGTACTTATATGACATCATGTGGCTCCCCAAGGATTAAATACAAGTTATCTCCCTTGGAAGTGTCTTTAACTGCTGAGCCATCTCACCAGTCCCCTTAATTATGTTTTCAAGTGCTTCTTTTTGCTAACATGTCCCACGGATGCCGTGGAATACCCCAGGAGAGGCTTTTGCCTGGCGAGATTTTGCAGCCACCTTACCCTAACTGTTGGGATCGTCTGTGCTGTGTATACACATGATTTATTCACCATAGCTTCCTATTGCTAACCTTTTACGTCGGTCATGGTTTTGTGAGGATAAGCGGGCTTTCCAGACACTGCCTCTGTTTCCATGGTAGACTATGACAACAACCCTTCTTTTGTAACTTTCTTTCTCTAAATAGCACAGCAAATCTCTTACTTTACCTGCAAAGCATCACTACCCTAGATGTCAGGAGTATAGCACCCTGCACATGCTTAGCAGTCTCTGAATTTTGGTTGGATGAATGGTCTTCTGTCCCAATAAATCGGAATGTTATTCTATTTTTGCCAGGGCTGATGAAAAATTCTGTAGTTTACAGGGAAATAATAGCTATGCATTTGGTTCTTCCCTTCCCGTGTGAATGGAGTCTCAACACAACACATTCAAATGCACACCAAAAGGCTGAGAGAGGTTTGGTAAATTGAATGCAGGGTTATTGTTTGTGTCCACTAAACAAAGTCCTAAATCACATTTAACATAATTGGTGGTTTTAAATTGGACCACTTTAGCAAGGAGAGTGAAATAATCTCTCATCCTGTCAAAGAGGCGATACCTTTAGACCAGCCTTTAATTGCATTGGCAGAGTAGGTTTGGGGAGGCGGCAGTAATTCTGGCCACATTATTCTTGGTTTGTGGCTAAATTGAGATCATCATTTTCTCTTGGTTTCAGTAACTTTCTTTATTGCTCTTCAAGCTAATCAGATCACTGTAGTGAGAGGAGGCTTCACTGTTAGCTCCAGGGTGGACAGAGAAGAGGGTTAGGTCTCTGGTAGCTGCCCTTCACTTTGGTCTGTGGAGAGAACACATACCCTTAGAGTAAAGTTTGATGCCTATATAAAGTGAACATCACTTATTTACATGAAAGAATACACACCTAAAATATGGTTTTGCCACCATTTTGTTAGGCTCTTAGTTATTTGTTTGAGTATCCCCAAGTCATTCTGAAATTCTTCCCAGCTGTCTAGACTATTTCATAAAATGCTGGTGCTTTTGTCTCCATCCATTTGGGGAGCTAATGCAAAGCTCCGTGGGACCACTGCCACCTGCCTGTGGCTGGAGTGTACCCCAGTCTTTGTCTTTCATGTCCCTCCTTCCAGTAGAAGCATTTCCTTTCCATCGTCCCAAGTATTTCCTCTCTTAAGGAAATCAGGCCATAGATTTGGCTGGAGAGATGGCTCAGCATTAGAGGCTAGGCTCACAATCAAATTCAAAAGAAACCAGGCCACTGATACCTATGGTCTATCTCAGTGTTGAAAAGAGTGACTCAGAGCGAATACCAACAGTATCACCCTTTACTTTGTCTTTCCCGGGAGCTGCCAAGTGCTGTTCTTGGAACGGCTGTTTGGATCCATCTCTCAGATGTTTGGAATTTTCATACATCTGTGCAGAAGTCCTAAGCACAAGCACTCCTGGTTCTGAGTTTAGACTTAACTCAGAGTCAGGAAGGCTGGCCAGCAAAGCGATTTTCCCAGCTGTCAGTGGCTGGGAGAAGAGAGCTGAGCTGCTGGGAAGGGAAGTGAGTGCTCCAATATGAGGCATGGCCCGCTTGCTCGTGCTGCATCCAAGGCCACATTGGTGTTTTGAGTGGTCTGGAAAGTTTGGAAAGTATAGTTTCCGTGAACTACGGATAAGCTGCATGTGTTTGCTTACAGAAAATTAGATAGCAATTAGGATAGATGAGTGGAAATATGTTGAACTCCCCAACCAATCCCCCCCCCCCCACACACACACACACTTTGCTACCATTTTGAAGTGGAACATTTGTTTCTCAGTGTCACTGGGGATTGGTTATAAGAGCCCTGGTTAACAAAATCCAGGGATTCTCGGGTCACTTAGGTAAAAAGGTACAGTATATGCACATAACCCAGGCACATTCTCCATGCACTTTCAATCATTCTAGATTACGATGGTATCTCATGAGATACAAATGCTTGTTAAACTGCATATTTAGGAAGTAATAACAAGAAAGCCTGCTCTATAAAGTCAGGATGGATGCAGTATTTTCTCCAAGTATTGTTGATCTTCGGTTGATTGACTCCTGGATGTGGTTTAATAAGAAGTAAACCCAGCCTACCTGTGAGCTAGTTGCTTTCCTTGGAGCGCCATGACACTTCCATTTGAAAGCAAAAGGTGCTGCTGGTATTTGTGCACTCAGGGTTCCTCAAAGTAGCAGATACTAACGGCTGCCAAGACTTTTGAGACTTTTTATTTGTCTTCAGTCGTGGACTATAAGTAAGGAGATCCCGTGCAGGTCCCAGGTGCTTCTCTTCACCTGTGACCAGTACACTACTGTCCACAGCATGCTACTGAGTTGGCTCTCCGCATTTCAACACAAGAATGTATTGATTACCAGGCAGTAATGGCACAAGCCTTTAATCCCAGCACTTGGGAGGCAGAAGCAGGCAAATCTCTAAGTTCGAGGCCAGCTGCTGGTGGTATGGTCTACAATGTGAATTCCAGGACAGCCAGGGCTGTTACATAGAGAAACCCTGTCTCAAACCCCACCTACCCCCAAAAAGAATGTATTGATCGGTTATTAATATGACGTGTGTGTGTGTGTGTGTGTGTGTGTGTGTGTGTGTGTATGTATGTTTTTATCAAAGTATATTACTCCAAAGGACAAAATTAGGAAGGAAGAACATTGTACTATTCTACTATTTCAGGTTGAGGTTAAACTGTGATTGAGTTCAATGTTAACAAGGACAGCTTCTCAGATACAGTATTATTTATGAAGCTTGGATGTAGCCTCATTCACTGCAGTTAGCTGTCTAGTGCTGGAGTTTCAAGGCAACCACAAGGAAGAGAATAACTGCAAGTGTTAGACTTATGGCAAGGACATGTGTGCGGTGTACTGTTCCCCGAGAGGCTGCTGCCTGTTGGGGTCCTCCTTTCATTCCTGCTGCCACCCTCCGTACACCCGAGGTTTTATCTGATCACATAAAAGAAACACTTCAGTTTCTTCCACGTCGTCATTAGTTATTACCCACGAAAATAAGTAAACTTACAAAATGTAAATGAGACCTGTGCGTGGACAACCCTGGAGGCTGACCTCGCTTGCTTTCGCAGGGAAAATGCATCCTTTACACCTTGAATTCACACGTGGCCTCTCCATTCCCATAGCTGTGCCCCCAAACGTAGCAGAACTGAAGAACTTGGAGGTGCTTAACTTCTTCAACAACCAGATCGAGGAACTGCCCACCCAGATCAGCAGCCTTCAGAAGCTGAAGCACCTGAACCTGGGGTGAGTACTGGACGAGCTTGCCGAAGGGACGCTGGTAGAGAGGTAAAGGGAATCAGGGTGTGGGCAAGCGAGGGACAGCATTTACGTGGTTATCCCATGGGAGAAGTGAGTTTCTCATCGCTTTTTATGTTTCAGGCTTAAGAAAAGGCTGTTGTTTTTTTTTTTTTTATTTTTTTTTTTAAAAGGCTGTTGTTTTAATATTTCCTTTCGCTGTCCTCCATTAGTACATATCTAGTTGGGAGCTAATCGAGAAGCTGGTTGATTGTTGGCACACAATAAGGAAGTTATTTTTCATGATGATTTGTTTCCAGTAACATTTGATTTTCATTGTGCTGGCCAAGGAAGGACTGACTTGAACAGCATTAACTGTTCAGATTACCTGGGCTCCTGTTGGACTGTTCTCTGTGTATACATAGAAGTAGCTTGACAAACACATTCCGTCTGTGCAGTGGCCCCTCGCACTGCACTGTGACTTCTTGCCGTTTTCCTGTGTTGTGGGAGTAGGGAGCAGTCCTACATTTCACACCAAGGTAAAGAAAGGAGAGTGATTGAGCTGAGGCTGCAGAACCAAGCATCAGTGAACGGCAGTTGTACCTTGCCTCTGTGTAGTGCTGGCCTGTTAGTTCCTGTGCCAGCACTTGACCCTGTCCAATTTGTGAGGTGGAGAGGGCGGGATTCAGCACTTTCCTGACACAAAGAGGCAACCAAGCTCCTTGCAAGGGGTTAAGCCATTTGCTCCTGATTACCCCTGGCTTTGGTGGCCTAGTGAGGTGGAGACCTCCATTGATTTGGGTCCATCAGTCCTCATGGATGGCAAGTGGAACTCTGGCTTTTGAATTTCATCTCCGCTTCCCTAGCTGGTGGCTGAGTGCTAGTCCATTCATGTTCCCATCTCTGCACAAGCCAATTTAGTCATAAAATTGTAGCCACTGGATGTTGCCGTCATGTTAGCGAGCTACAAGGCGTATTTATCAGTCTCATAGGGAGCTTGGGAAATGGCTGCTAGTTCATTTTTTACATGAGGGGTTTGGTTAGATAACTCTTGTTTTGAAGCTCCGTTTGGATAAGAGACCAGCTTTACAAGATCTGCGAGCATCTGCTTGCTAATGCGTGAGAGAAAGCGGAGTGAAAGAGAACAACCTCCCTTCAAATGACAGCTTTCCCTTGCTCGTGTTCACACTGGATCCCCACCCATGAAACAGAACAGGAAGGATGATGCATTTAGTTCTTGAGTTTGAAGATTAATAATAAGTCCCGGCTCTGGGGAGATTGCTCAGTGGGTAAGAGTGCTTGGTTTGGAACCAGGAGGGCCTGGGTTCAAATCCTCAACACCCATGTAAAAACCAGGATTGGCCTTGAGTACTTGTAGCTCAGCACTGGGGGTATCGAGAGAGGCACAGGTAGATCCTGGGAACCTGCTGGCTAGATAGCCTTGCCAAAATAGAAAGCATTAGGTTCAGTGGGAGAACTAACTTATTTAAAAAATAAGGTATAGAGTGATTAAAGAAGACACACACTCTTCGTCCTTCTCTGGCCTGCGCAGGGGCACATACAGGTAAGTACATGTACATAAATCACAAACATACAAAAAAAACATTAGTTGTATGGTAAATTAGTATGCAAAAATGCTAAAAATATGTATCTTTACTGTTAAGCTGTGCATTTGTAAAATTAAAAAAATACATATAAGATGTATGTATATGTAGTATATACATCTATTAGCATATTATAAGGATATTAATGCACAGTGCATATTTGAAAAGCATGTAATTAGGAACATGACCTAATATATGTTAATCAGAGCACAGCACTAGTGATTGTTATCATCAATGTTTCACTAATTTGTTCACTTATTTCTTGACTATGAAGTTGCTTATTCTATGTCAGCATTACTGATGGGGAGCAAGGATCAATATCTTGGGTGTGGACCTTAAGATAGGGGCACGGCACACTGTCAGTGAACACAGTAGGGTCGTAGTTGTGCTGGGGCTGATGGAACTATAATGGAATCCAAGACATGAGGGTTAGGGTTAGGCTGTAGATGGGGTTCTCAAGAGGCTTCACACAGGATGAACGCTGGAACCCAAACCATGCTTGCGAGTGAGTTTCTGACCTAGACAACCAAGCCGGCATCTCAGGTTGAGAGAGCCACACGTTTCAAAGCTCAGAGCACTGGAACTGCTGGGCTGTTTATTGAGAGTTCACTGGTGTAACTGGATGTAAAATGTGAGGCAGGTGGTAGTCACGTGAGATGCAAGACTAGCCAGACACTTGGGAATTGCTTGCCGATCACCTGATGGATGCTCGTTGAGTTCCAGGTGGTTACCAGGTGCCATTTTAGGTAATAGCAATGCAGCCATCATGGGGCTCAATGGAGCCGTCATGTTGCCCTGATTCATATGATGGAGCTCTAGTTGCAGACTGTGTCTGCCTGACAATTAAAGAATTTGTCTTGCAGAGTAGTGGGTATGAAATGAGAGAAGTTTTGTCTGAAAGCTCAGCGTGGAGAGTGCTAACGGGAGTTGGGGTAGAGGCCAAGAGGCCAGTGGGGAACAGCGGGGAAGTTGCCTCTGTGGCTGAGATGATCCGGGTCAGTGACAGTGGAGGAGGGGCTGGAGGGGTTAATTTGAAAACTATGTAGAAGAAAAATTGCCCAGACAGTTACTGATGGGAGGGATACAATCTAGATTTCTGTGTTGAGCTTGGAATTTGAGATGGAGACACTTTTGGGAAGAGCATAATAAGCTCAGGCTTGGTTCAGTTGAGTTTGAACAGAAGGGTCAACTTGATGAACATGCACCTTAGTTATTTTCTTGTCCTTTTGGAATTAGTTGTACTTTTGGCTCTAAGTTTATTGATTATGTAAAACTTCCAGTGTTTAATTCCATAGCTCCATAGAAGTTGGCATCGCAACAAAACTTTTAGTTCATTGGGGAAGGAATTAAGATGGGTTTCAACAAAGGAGTTTCTGTCCTTGAATGTCATAGAGACTTATACATGCACATTAAGGCCAGGGAAGACAGGATGGAGAGGACTGCTTGGCACAAGCAGGTAGAACGCAAGTGTGCACTCGGAAGACCATAAGCACAAGGTTAGGTCACGCGCATCCATAGTCCTGAAGATGCACTTAACCAAACAGATTTCGTGTTATGTAATATTTGCTGTTTGTTATGATGATTCCAAGACATGAAAGAACTTTAGGCCAGCTCACAAGAGAAAGTTTTGATCTGTTCTTAACTCTTAAAAGTACAGTGCATTGTGTATTTTACAAGAAATGAAAAGCCCTAGATGTTCGGAGTTTGCAGTTTAATAGGTTTTGGGCAGACTTCATTGTAGAGGACCACAGTCAACTGTTCTGGACTGTCAGCCTAGTTTGTTGCTAGAATTCATCTTGTAAGCACTTGGCAGTTAGTGAACCAGATGAAAGTCCTGACATAGATGTGTTTCACAGACTGTGACATCATAGGGACCCTAAAAAACCCTCTGTTCTAAGGTGAGTAGTCCAGCCTGGGACCCCCTCTGCTTATTACTTGTAAATCCACTTTTCTCTTGGGTTCCCTTATGAAGTCTGGGTTGGTAGAGGTGGGCAACACTGTGTCTCTTATTAGAATGGTCAATGATTGGGTTTATTTCCAGTGTCACAGCCTCTCCTCCCTGTCAGCTTACACTGAAGTGTTTTTAAAGTGACTTTTAAGTATTCTCAAAGAGAGCTGCAATAAGAAAAATAAAGGTCTTGAAGAATAAAAGATAATATCAAAATATTCTCTTTGATTTTATATATACATATCCATATATATGTGTGTATGTATGCATATGTAATTCACTTCTCTGTAGTAATAAAATGCTAGCCAAGCGCAATGCGGGGGCTGAAGGGTTTATTTGGCTGACAAATTACAGTCTAGCATCAGGGGATGCCAAGGCAGGAACTGCGGCAGGAACTAGAGAGAACACCTGTTTACTAGCTTGTCGCGTCTGATTTCTTCAGCTGCCTTGCTTCTACAGCTCAGGCCCAGCTGCGTGAGGGATGGCACCACCCGTAGTGTCTGGGCGTTCTGACACCAATGAGCCATGAGGAAAGCACACCACAGACATGCCTGTAGGTCAGTCTGATAGAAGCAGTTCTTCAGTGAAGAGTCTCTTTGCTCAGGTGTGTCTAGTTGACAGCTAACCTTAGCCACCACACATATACGCACGCAATACACACTTAGGAGTGTGTGTATATGTATCATAAGGTTTACCATCTTAACCTTTCTTTAGTGTGGCAGTCAAGAGTGCTGCTTCCACACTGCTACTGCACATGAATTCTCTTGTCTTACAAACCTGAAACAACCAGTTTCCCTCCCTCTGCCCCAGGCCCTGGCAACCAGCATTCTAACTGGAGACAATTGTGATCATTGGTTTATAGTTAGAGAACAGGAATGTGATGTCCCTTCCCGTCACAATGAATGGATGAAATAAAGCAAATACCCGGAATACATGTTTTGAATTCTTGTTTGCTCATGTTTAAGGAAGTTTCTCATCAGACAGACAGGTATTTTGTGTATTCGTATGTAGAGTGGTGTTCGAGTTTTCCTATTGAAGGAAGTGATAACTAAAAATTTTCATTTTGTGAACATGGGTTGTCTGAGTAAAATGCTTAGATTGAGGTTAGTATGCATTATCTCATCGGAGAGGTAAAATATGAAAGTCAGCAGGATAAAGTGATTTTCACCAGAGGCAGGTGGCAGGGATGAAGTAAGAAGATGCTAAAAGACCAGGAATTTCAGGCATAAGTTCAAGAGGTTATTATATACCACAGTAACTAGAGTCAACAGTGTCTACTGTATTTGAAAGCTGCTCAGAGAGTAGATTTGTATGTATTTGTATTCCTGATGTAGTCTCAGCACGATCAAAATGCTCATGGAATAAGGAATATGTTAAATAGCTTAACGTGATGATCCAGCATGTTGCATGTACCATTTGTGTGACTATTTCCTCTGGTCAATTAAATTACCTGAATAAGCTGAAAAATCAATTGTATTCCGTAAATGCTGACTCATGGCAGGCGTTGGGGCTTTCATCCTGATGAGCTGGGTTTGCACCGTTTCTAGTGTTCTTGGTGAATTTCTGCTTTGTGAGAGGTGACAAGTTCCTTCTGTCCTCAAACCACAGCATGAACAGGCTGAACACACTGCCTCGAGGATTTGGCTCTCTCCCGGCTCTGGAGGTCCTGGACTTGACTTACAACAACCTGAATGAACATTCTCTCCCCGGAAACTTCTTCTACCTCAGTGAGAAACTTTTCATTCTGTAAATCTCTTTAACATGGTACTTTGGTTCTAAGAGTGCTGATTTCTTTGCCAGTGCCAAAACTCTTAAGAGAAATCGTTAGAAATATATGTATTTATGTATTTCCATCACAGTCCTTTTGCATATTCCTTCATCGTTCAGCAGTATTTGTATTCGATGTATAAGCGGACTCAATAATGTCACATTAACTTTCCGAGAGAGATTTTGTTCCTCAGTGAGACCAAGTCTCACATCTAGCTAGGAATCTTGATTTTTTTAAGAGTGTGAAAGAAAATAAAGAAAAGGTTCTTTCCTGGTTACTATTAATTCTCTGCAATGCACTGCTCAAAGATACTCCAGAAAATTATTTATAAAAATATCCATTCATAAGCTGCTAACAGAATTGTTTAAATATCTAGCTCAGATTCTTACTTAAGTCTTTGAAGAGCTCTCCTTGCCATAGACTGACATTGTCTAGTATACAACCATTATGGAATTGTTTGTTACAGATGGTTACATGTTTATCTTTTCTTGCTATAGATACATAGAAAAATCAGGATGACTGACATCCCAGCAACTCATGACATACTCAGGGAAGAGTTGTATGTGAAGTCAGTTTATCTGCACCTGTGACAGGGACTTCTGTGTTGTGTGGACAGTCTGTTGGCCATGTTCTGTGTGTTCATTTCTATTACTAAGTTACTGCTGAGAAAGGACTGCACTATATAGCTTTGTGTGGCCTAGCCTTCGCTATGGCGACCAGGCAGGCCTCACATTGTGGTGAGTCCCCTTTCTTTAACCTCTTGTCATGATGCCCACACTAGAAAATCTGTCACTTCTGAAGCAGCCTATAAAATTCCACTTTTTAACTTCCCTTTCACGCCGTCTACCAGACATTCTGAAGCACATAAAACCAATTCTAAATTGTTTTCTTGGGCCACAGAGAAAATGATTTTTCTTATATGTGATAACATATATTTCTGTCTGTTTTCCCATGTTGGAATGTAATTTGATAGCTGCTAAGCAAATTTTTAAAGTACATCTATTTAAATTTGCTCTGTTTTTGGTAGCTATTTAAGATTTTAGCCCTCGGCGGCTGGGATCATGCCATCATTTTATAATCTGTGCAAGTATTCTGCTTGCTTTAAGCTTTAATCTCTTAAATCTATGTCCTCATTTTAGCACCTTTGTCTTCATTCAGTTACATCATTAAAGTGACAAAGAGAAGTGACAGTAATTAGCCTGATTATGGAAACAAAAAAGTCACGACGATGGTGTCCGTCATGGGAAAGCCCTTCATATACTTCTTCTCAACATGGATCTATTTGTATAAGAAAGTCCTAGTCTGACGTAGATCCGTTTTGATGGACGAGCCCCTTTGCTCTGGATTCTGATGTGGGTGGCCCTGTGGGACCACGTGGTCCTTCTTTCTTTGGAACTGCAAATGGTATAATAAATGTGAATCTAAAGTACTAGGGAAACACGGCTATCGTTTCTGGAAACATCGCAAGGGTGCCAACCTCTTTGTGTAAAGCCCGGGGTTGTTAATTGTGTCAGTCCTTCTGGATACAGATGTTTTCCTGGATACACCGGCACCACAATCAACCGATAAACCTAGGTTTGACCTGCTCGCTATTAGAATGAGCCCTAGGTATGTCACAGGCTTTTCACCTCGCCAGGGTTATTAATCAAAGCTGACTCCCTTGCATTGATCAGACCCCAGATGGTTGGATTCCTTGCCACCCTGTTTATATATTGCTGTTTAATTTGCAGCCACCCTGCGTGCACTCTATCTAAGTGACAACGATTTTGAAATCCTGCCTCCAGATATTGGGAAGCTCACGAAGTTGCAGATAGTAAGTAATTTATCTAAATTCTTAGAAAATCAATTCACTTCTGCAGCCCTTGTAGGAGTAGAATCAAGTCAATTTGGGCAGGAGTAAGGTTTGTTTTGCAGGAATGAACCACTGCTCCTGCTTCTGTTTCTTGTTTAGCCTCAGACACTTTTAAATGAATTGGAAAGATTGAGCCTTGAAGGAAGAGAGGGCACTGGGTGAGGGCGTGAGTTTCTGTTGAGCACCTCTTTATGAAACATTGTTTTGACAGCTCCCTGTTTTCGTATATTTAGCTCAGCCTCAGGGATAATGACCTGATCTCACTGCCTAAGGAAATCGGCGAGCTCACCCAGCTGAAGGAGCTCCACATCCAGGGGAACCGCCTGACTGTTCTGCCTCCAGAGCTAGGTAAGGATGCTTGTCAGAGTCTTCATGCTGGGTTTAGTTCATAACCCCAACTTTGCGACTGTGGATGACCTCTCTCCTCCCCTTGACACTCACTCTCGACTCACTCAGGCACCCCATTCTGATCAAATCAGGGCCATTTGTCATTGGCCAGAGCCCAGGTATTATGAATTGACTTTCTGTGATACAGCTGTAGGGGGCAGCATCTCAGAAATTGCTGAGGGACGGCCTGCAACCTGGTGGTGTAGTGGGAGGAGCTTGGGGTTAGCAGTAAGAGCTTCCTTTAGAATGCCTTGTGTGATAGCTGAGCAAGCTTTCTGGGTTCTCATTGGTTAGTAATGGCTTGCCAAAACAATATTCTTATTATCTCTTGCTCCCCCCCCCCACAACTAAAATTTTTCACCAACTAGATAAAGCGTATTTATTCTGGCTACCTGCAAACGCCTTTTCCAGTGGTGGCTTTGGTTTGTCCTGATGCCATCTCCAGTGAGAATTGTTAAATGTGTTTTACTGAGAACTCTTTGGTCCTGTTACAGGTGGGCTAAATTTCAGTTCTCTGTGTGGCCTCAGGTGGATGTCTCTTCTTCCTCTCTTGTAACCTCTGAACCCACAGTTTGACTGATGAGTTGACACTGCCCTTTGGCAACAAGCTCATGAATGGCAGGCACACACTTGGGAAATAGAGTCAGGGGAGGGGACTCATGAGTCACCCTGGGTCACACGGTGAGACCCATTGTTAAACAGAAACAATAAAATCTTGATGTTCACTGGCCTCTCATTTCCTCTCATTTCTTCTCTCCTTTGACCCACCTAACTTTCTTGAACTGATACTGTTTCTCAATTATTTGTTTCTCTACACCAAAATAAGATATTTTTTTAAAAAAAACACTTTATTTGACTCACGCTTGTTGGAGAAAACCATTCTACAGTAGGACTGGTGGTTTTCAAAGGCCATTGCAAATGAGAATATAAAATACCATGAGAGTAAGAGCATTTTCATGTCTGTTCCCTGCTCTGCCTTCCGTGCTCACCCATGCCAGATGGACGGTATCGAGTTAAAACAAAACCTGCTGAATGAGGTAATGAAGTGGCAATCTTGGATACTAAAGTATTAGGAAGATTGCGGGCACAATGTGGGTTCTGTCTAGAGTTGTGCTCCCAGCACAGAGGCCACCAGCCACAAGTCAGATGTTTCATAGCTATGTGTGGTTGTCACACAGGAGACCACAGTTCTGAAGCAGAGTACTGTATAAAAGATAAACGGGCCTGGAGAGCTGGACCAACAGTTAAGAGCATTGTCGCTCTTCCAGAGGACTCAAGTTTGGTTCTCAGCACCCTATCAGGTGGCTCACAGCTATCGGTAGCTCCAGTTATTGGAAACCCAACTTTTCTGCAAGAACTTACATGCCTATGGCATATCCTCACACAGACACAGGCGTACACATACATACTACATACATGTGGCTTACCCTCACACAGATAGAGGCGTATACACACATACTACATACATGTGGCTTACCCTCATGCAGATAGAGCTGTACACATAAAAACAAAAGCTGTAAAGACAAGTAGGCACTTGATTTCATGGGATGAACCCCACTTCACCCCCACTTTCCCATCTTCTTCGCCCCTTTGAAGTTAGGAGGACCAAGTTTTCAGGGTTTAGGAATAATTGCTCAGCACCTTTTCTTTACTGAATTACAAGGAGTCAAGTTTTGCTTTGGAAGGAACGAAGCAAAACATAGTAGCCAAAAAGTATTCTTTTGGTCATATAAACTTGTAAACCTAGCAGTTGAGATGTGAAATAGGAGACTCACATGTTCAAGGCCAGCCTGGGCTTCGTGGGTCCTGTCTGGGAATAGAAAAGTTTAAAGGCAATGGCATTTAGTGAGAATTTTCTAAGGGGAAACAACTTACCTAGGGAAAAACACTGCCTTGGGCCAGTAATTGTTAACTGTGGATTTTAGCATTAGCAATACTTGGGGACATTTTACAGAACATAAATAACTCACCTCCTCCTACACTATTGAATCAAAACTCCGAGTGTGAGACAGATTCTTGTGTAACAGGATGAAGCTCGCTCAGTGCTTCTGACGCGTGTCTTCGCTTAGTGTGACTAGTAAAACTGGAAGACGTAAATATGCATTTGGTTGCCATATTGCTTGCTTTTTCAGTTCTGCAAGCAATATGGTAATCTAAAGTATTAGGCTAGGCAATTCTTTTTTTTTTCTTTTTCTTTCTTTTTTTGGGGGGTGGGGTTTCAAGACAGGGTTTCTCTGTAGCATTGGAGCCTGCCCTGGAACTAGCTCATAGACCAGGCTGACCTTGAACTCACAGAGATCTGTCTGCCCCTGCCCCCCAGAGTGCTGGAATTACAGGCATGCACCATCACTGTTTGGCTTGGCAATTCTTTTATTGGATGATTTATTAGAAAAGTGCCTCCTTGAACCGAATAGGTCTATCTATGTATTTTTAAGCCTTATTCTTTTTTTAGTTTACATAAATATTCTATGCCATCATATTTCTCTGACATTTCCTTTAAGGTATCCGATAGGAGTAGAATTGTAACGAGTCTTTGGGTGGCTTCATTTCTGCTAGCCATACCTAGAAAACATTGCCCACGTCTGTCTGTTAGTCTTTTTCTACTTTGAAGTGAATACTTTCATTTGAAATAGGTAATAAATTCTTCAGAAACCCTAGTTACTAATTTAAAATAAAGATGAAGATTTTTGAGCAGTGGTTATTTTAAAAACCAAGGGCAACATGCTAGCTGGTAATATAATCATAGCTGGTAAGGCCTTGGATGCCGGAGCGCAGTAATATGTACTTTTTCCATGCAATCTCTTCTGGACTTGTGAGAATGGGGAACAGACCTTTAGAGATGGAGAAACTGAGGCTCAGGGAGGATTTGTGACATATCCTTAAGGGCCCAGCTATGAGTCACAGTGGCTTTCCTTGAACCTGTCAGTCTTCCACCAGGCCCATGTTCCTGACCAATGTGATGGGCTCCTACCCACCCATATGGCAGGAAGAAGATTCCTAGACATGTACTTCCGAATTTGAACCAAAAACAACAGCCCTTCAAGATGGTGCAGGAGGAAGTTTGATACAATAAGGCCAATCACATGGCAGGCTTTGCTGGTCCTTGGGTGAGGCTGGAATACTATGCAAAGTGTGCCTGAAATGGGCTTTGCAAAATGAATTACTATTTTGCTGTTTCATTCCAAGCCAGTCGCTTTGCCTGTGTGATTCTTGCCTCTTGGTAAGCAAGCACTGCAGTAGATTCGGCTTTCACTTGTGCACGTGATGCCCAGTGACCTTCTGAAGCCCCTTCTCTCATTCAGCTCATCCTTCCTGTCTCTGTGTACCCACTGGCTGCAGCTTTGCCTCTGAGTATGTTTTAAAGTGTGTGGTGATTTCCTTTTGGCTTATTTAGTTTTTACATAAGCAAGGTAAGTGCTCCTGAGATTTTTGTGAAAATCTTTCTAATAAACCCAGAGTTTGTAATTTGAAACCTCTTCGGTGAAAGAATTTCAGCCAAGCAGAGAAATCCAGATGCATTCAGATTTGTCTAATCCAAGGACACGAAGGAACACAGCACAGTGAAAATCGGGGGCTTGCTTGGAATTCTGTGGCTTTTCTTTTCCTTGAGTAGACTTATTTCCTTACTTAGACTGTTTTTCTGGTTTCTCGCTTTCACATCAGGCTATCTATATTGTAGTGGTTGTAATGAGTAATGTCACCCCAGACTCATGATTTAAACACTTATTGCCCAGTTCGTGGCACCACTTCACGCTGTGGAGTCCTTCAGGGGTAGGGCCTGGCTGTCAGAATTAGGCTACTGGGGGAGGGGGGGTGTCTTTGAAGAATTTACCCACTCTTCCTACCCAGCTCTCTCTGCTTCTTGGTCTATTCCCATGTGACTGCCATTGCCTCATATAGAACTGAATTCCTTTTGAAACCGGGAGCCAAGATAAACCTTTCTCCCTTAATTGTTTCTGTCAGGTGATTTCTCAGCACAACGCAGAAGAAATATCTCTAGATATTAATTATATATTTATATATTTATATTAGATATAAATTGGGAATTGAGTCATCTGCTCCTGTATTCATTCAGGCATTTATTAATTTCCTTCTTTAGGCTATTTTGTTTTAATTCCAAAGGACTGACCTTCCCAAGAAGCAGAATTCGCTTGTCCAACAAGTATTTATTAAGCTTCTGTTTAGTATATCTGCCAGGGGTGCTAAGAGGAGACAGCAGCCATATGGAGGGAAGGAAGGGGAGACATGCAGACAATTGACAAAGTCTGAGAGATCTAGGTAAGTGAGGAGAGATGCTAAATCATGTAGTATTGAAAATCAGGCCTGAGCAAGTGCTGGGTAAAGGGAGAGGTGATCTGAGAAGGTCTTGCCTAGCCTATAATGCATTTAATTGAGACCTAAAGGAGGGAAGGCACCTTCCAGGCAGAGGGAGCAGCCCATGCCCAGGTCCTGATGCGGCTCCTCTGGGAGAAATAAGAAAAGTTGTGTGAATGTAGCAAAGGTAGTGGTGGTGGTGGGGTATGGACTTCCAGACTGCATTAGTTACTTCTTTTTTTTTTTCATTTTTTTTTTTATTATTGAGAAAAGGAAGAAAAAAAAAACAAGTTTCCACCTCCTCCTAGCTTCCCATTTCCCTCCCCCTCCTCCCACCCCTCTTCTCCTCCTCCCATCCTTCTCCCCCTCCTCCCACTCCTCTCCCCCTCCCTCTCCAGTCCAAAGAGCAGTCAGTGTTCCCTGCCCTGTGGTAAGTCCTAGGTCCTCCCCTCTCCGTCCATTTCTAGGAAAGTGAACATCCAAACTGGCTAGGCTCCCACAAAGCCAGAACATGAAGTAGGATCAAAACCCCATGCCATTGTCCTTGGCTTCTCATCAGCCCTCATTGTTCGCCATGTTCAGAGAGTCCAGTTTTAACCCATGCTTTTTCAGTCACAGTCCAACTGGCCTTGGTGAGCTCCGAGTAG